CCTAACAAAATAAATTAGAAATTGACTAATTTACTATTAACCACAAAAACTTCTCAAGAAAAAAGAGATCTAGTGGAAAACCAAATGGACAAAAATGCTTTAATAGAAGTAACATGCATACGAAGGGAGGAGTGAAAAGGGCATAAGAAAATTAAATACAAGTTCATAGAGAAACTTCAAAAAATCAAAGAATAGAAAATTATAAAATTTGAATATCTAGATAATTTTGTATAACTCAACACTTTTTATAATTAAATTCATTTCATTGAACTGCGTGAATCTTATTGGTGCTAGATTCCCTAATCAACAAATCAGCATAATTAACTCTAATAAGCAAAAAACATGAAGAGTTCAACATTAGTGAATGCAAGCTTAGTATCTGCAATCTTTAGGTTTATCTTAATGGCAAGAAAATAAAAATGTCTCCGAAGTATACTGGCAAGCGTTAAATTTTTTGGTACTGGAAATAAAAAAAAAAATCAGCAACACTGAGCACGCTCTGGCACTTTTACAACACCTTTCCAGAGAGTAAAATTTTACTTCATGTCTTTTACCTTGCACAATTACTTCATCGGTTATAATATTTTGGATTTCTTTCTTATCTGCCCATAAGGTTGAATTAATGTTTTGTTTGAACTGGAAGATTAATTGTATCTGTTAATATTAAAGGAACTTTTATAGAGAGAAATAGTTAAGATGTTGTAATTGTCTAGTTATTCAGCTAGTTTTCTGGTTTATCTGAAATTAGGTCAAGATAGAATATATGTGCTTTAATGTTGCATCAAAGTTGCCTAATACTAACTTAAATGGCACCGAAGACAACAAGAATTGGTAATGTGCTGTAATGTATATCTATTTTGAAATACTGTATTTTTTATTAGAATTCCACAATCTCCCTAATTTACTTCCATATTGATTCTAGTTTTCAGGTAAAAAAATAATCTTTTAAGAATCTGTAATTCTAAAAATTATTCAAAAAAGGTTTTTTTCGTACTCATACATATCAAGAAAAACTTATTTCTTCTTTGATATTACATTTGTTACAGACTTATGCATTTAAAAGTTGAAATGCTTGGTGCAGGAAAGAAGGAGAGTATTATTGAATATAAATAAAAAGAAAACTACATTTCTTCATAAAAATTATACTTCATGTTCTACAAGATCATGAAGAATCATCTGCATTGTATTAGACAGCATAACATTCTTTATACAGAACACTAAAAGTGATGAAATATAAATCAAGTCTACATACACAAGTCTACATACACAGGCAGGTCTGTTCTAAAATAGTGTCATGATAATTATACTATGTAATTCTATTAGCTTTGTGCAGCATCAGTCACTTGAAATGAACCAAAAACTTCAAATGCCATGGAGTATTTATAAATCAGTCTTTTTGAAAGTAACAAAATCTCAAAATCGTAATCTTATTCTATTTAATATGTAGTGAGCATGATAGCATGATAAATGTATAATTGACGATAAACAACTTAACTTTTATTAATGTACAAGCTCAGTGGGTGTTTGGGGCAAATATAATGTGTAAAAATTACATTCTTTTCAATGAGGAATACCTAAATTCTGTTTTCTCTCTTTTAGATAACAAGCAAAACTATCACTACAATCTTCTTACAACTGATGACACAAAGTGCAAGTGTAAACATGTGCTTTTAAGGAGAAAACACAACAGATACTCTAAAAATTGAGAGCTAAGAAGTGAGTGACATGGCAGAAGCTTTGCATGCATTGTGTTTGTTGGTGAGCAAAGCAAAACACATTGTTGTAAATATTATGTATTAAATTACTTGATTCCAATAACTCCACAGGCAACACGGCCTCCTGCATTGCCTGTTGTTTTGCTTTGAGGATGAGTTGTGTTACCCAAATCATCTTCGTTTGCATGAATAACAAGAGATCGGCCAACAATACTGTATTCTCCAATAAGAGAGATAACATTATCTTCAAAGTCAATCATTGCTTTGCCATCAGAAGATTCAATGTTTCCCAAATCACCAACATGTCGTTCAGCAGCAGTAGGAGAACCATGATTTTTCTGAAAATTGAGAAAAATAATTCATTGTTGGTTTAATTTGGTTGCAGACATTTCAAATTTTAAATCAATAAAACTTCCATACTCTGACTAAACCATTGGATCTATTGTACACCAAAGCTTGTCTTGCTATTTAGCAGTTCAGTAAAAAAACAAATTTGAAAAACGTTTTGAATTTTTGAAAGAGATATACTGGCTATTCTGAACAAAAATCCAAACAATAATAGACTCATGAATTAGTATGATACATTATATACATAAATATACATGTATTATCTTTTAGCAGTAATTATTTTTAATAGTTAGCATTATAAATTTAGTCCGTACTTTTATTATCACAGAATTTTGAATTACATTTTTAATTAGTAGTCTCTGGTGTTCATTTCTATTTCTAAGGAAATATATCCTATACCTACTTAGTCATTAACGTATTACCAACAACACTAGTAATTCTGCGTCTAAAAAACCTTATTTATTACAATGTTTAATTATGTTATTAATATTAGTAATGTGTACTGTGGGTTTTTATTAGTGCCCTAGATATTTGAAAATATTTCAGCCTTAAAATAATTGTTCAATTAAACAGATAACTACTCTTATTAATAAGAGTAATCACCTTGACCTATTTCATGCCATGCTATTCAATTAATACCTTTCCTGTGTTACCGCATTACAGGCAATTGTCTGATGTAGGTCTGAGGTAGGATTTCGTTTTAACAACCATGAAGGGGAAATGGAAATTCATCACCTTTAGCATTGTTGCTTCCCTCCAGAACAAAAATCCATGACTTAGACTATGGTTCACTACATTTTTAAACAAAAATTTGGAGTGCCTTACTTTTCTACCGAAGGTATCACAAATGATATTCATCACAAATGATATTCATCAAGTAATACGAAATTCTCTTTTACTTTTAATATTTTTGTTACAACACTGGTCAACAGGGGATGTGTACTTGGGAATCTTAACTGGTATTTTCTATTTGGGTGTGAAATAAAGAAAAAAGTTCTGTCACTCCCAAAATATAGCTTTTTGATCAGGGCACATAATAAGCTTTAAATTATTGAATCACTTCACATTTTATAACTTCGATGATGAAATTGCTTTAGCGTTTTAAGAAAATGTATAAGTAATTTTCTACTACAAGGATATTGCTGTAAAACTAATGGATGATATGTTAGAAGGCAAAGTTTCGATTGGAATCAAACGCTGATCAAATATTTTCTACACCTGCTAGCAAATAGCATAGAGTCTATTGGGAAGAGAAAAAGTGTGAAAACAATCTCATAGGCAATTTTGTCAGCTTTCATTTTGAAAACAGTAATTTTCGCTTCGTTGCAGTGTTTTCAATACATAGGAACATAAAAGGTTCCCATTTTAGTTCTTCGCGTGATCTTAAGTAGAAAATTATAATAAGGATTTGTTTTTTAAATATTTTTAAAAAAATATGGAACTGACAAAACATGGAATATTTCGGCGCTCGGACAAGGTCGACAACAGGACAGAACTCGTGACTATATAATCCATATTTTTCGTATTGTATTCGAGTCCTACGTATTGCACCAGTAAAGGAGATAACATGGTAAAAAGTAGAGCTAATCCGCAAGAAAATAATCACGAAACAAACATTTTTATTCGATTTTTGTAAATTGTGTAACCCAATTCTCGAAAATATTTTATACGGTAACTTCCGACGTGATACCCCATAGTTTTTGTATGTTTCCGTAAAAAGAACGCAAATTTACGCAATAATTACCTACACGTCACTATAAAGCACAATTTCCGCAGTAATGACCTACACGCCTAAACCATGGCCATAGGGCCACAGGCACCGGATCCACGCCCTATACTTCGTCAGGTCTGTAAAGACTTCTTAGAGGAGAGTGCCGCCACCGTCTGTGATGAGTTGAACTTACAATTCTTATCTCTTCCACGCAAAGAATACTGAACTTCTGTTTTGATTTATTACTATAATGACCGGATTATGTAAGCTAGAGGATTAACGTCTCGAATCAACGAAGACTTCTTGTCTCGCCGTTTCTTTTACAGATTTTCAATACAATCTACCAGCTTGTTCTCGGAAACGCATTGCGAATGCTCGTGGAACTGACACCAAAGTTATGCATTTGCGATTTCCATGCGGCAGGCGCGGTATGGTGTAGCGTGACGATGGTCCGCAGGAGGGAAATGGGTGAGGAAGTGTCGCGGACCTTCCGGGCTTCGATCCTGGAACCAACTCGTTGGGGAGATCTGATATACGGTGTGTCGCGATTTCCAATAATATTTACCTCAGTGTACTATACATGGAGAATTTGGAATCTAAGATTTCTGGCGCAATCACGACCGCCACGAGAAAATTTTTGTCTCAGTATAAAGGTGGAATGCGGACCTTTAAAAAAAATCTACAGAAATATGTGAGAACATTCTTATTAAAATGATTATATTGATATATTTAGATAAGACATATCCTCCTACACTGACGGGTTTAGGGCGTCAACTGACGTTACTGCAGTGGCTGACCAGGGGTTAGAGTCCTGACGATGGAAGGATTTTCTGTTGGTGACGGTGGAAGCTAGATAACTTCGAATTCAGAAGCTGTCTGGAAGGCAAGTCGACTCCCCTGATCGGTAGTTTTCCGTGTTTTCTCCTATCAGTACCAGGCGAATGCCGGAGGAGTACACTAACAAGGTGGCTCAGCGTTATGTGACAGCAAATCTCCAAGGAAGAGGCCGCCATGCATTAAATATTTGCCATTTGCGGGCTGAGTCACGAAAAATCAACTTCTTTGTTATAAGGAACTGCTGTACTGTACTGTGTATCCGTAAGTTCTATACTATGTTATTACAGTGTTCGTGTAGACTTTTTTTTTAAAATATCCATCTAACTGTAATGTTATACCAGAATATAGAGAGATGTTGTTGAGCTTTGTCAGTGTTACGTTTTGGAATATCTTTTTTGTGGTTTTGTTCAGCAGCATTTTTACTTCTGCAGGCAACTAGAATTTTACTATTTTGACGATAAATAAATAAACAACATGATATGATGGAATGCATTTCAGATCTGATACACCTGGATGTTCTGTATGATTTGTTGCCTATGATAAAATTTAATTCATTTTGAATTTGTTGCATACCATGAGAGGATTGTAGTGACCGCCGGCCGCTTCACAAGGAACAATGTCTCCTCGTTCATGAATATGGAAACCATGTTTCCCATTTTCGAGTCCTGTAATCAATCCAGTGATGCGTACATGCCCATTACCAATTTGCTGGAAAGTCACGTTGCCTTCCACCGTAGCAGTTTTCAAGTGTACGACTGCTGTTCTGTTCTGAAAACATTAATAGATCGTAGATTATTTCTCCCAATCATCTAATTATGCTTCATCAGTCAATTCTATTGTGTTAATAGCACAGATAATTTTCAAATATACTTACATCATTTGCTGCAATTACTGCTGACACTGTGACCAAGAACAAAAGTATGCACAGTTTCGCCATGTTGAATCTGAAAAAAGAAAGAACTTTAGTTCCAAATTCTGTGTTTATGCATTGCACTCTTATTAAATTAGATTTGACCACGGCTGACATATACTAAGTTTCCAAGTATGGAATGATGTCTACGAGCAAAAAAACCTCTGCTTTCTGTTGACCGGAGAGATCAATCCCGAATTTTGTAGGTCATGAGGTAAGACTTTAAATATCCTTCTCAAGTACGAGCATGCACAGTGGTTTTAGAATTTTTTAAAATTAAATTAAGGAACTACAGAAGTAGGTTTTTGTGCAGATTTTACAGAATTCAAAAATTTTCTACATTTTCGTAAGAAACGATAATAAATTTAACTTTGATACATTTCTTTACTATGTATTTAACCCTACTACACAGTTCCCTAAAAGCCAAATTCGGAATGAAATTCAAGTTTTCCATGTCTAAATCACTTATGTATAAATAAAACTGTGTTTAGTCTGTCTTGATCGGGCCAAGTCTTTCCCTAACGTATGGAGATTTTCGGAAACTCCTCTTCCTCAGTCTTACGACGCGTCGTCTCAAATTACCAACAATTCAGCGTTAAATCTGGTGAGCAATTAGCTCTTCTCTGACACTACATATGAAGTACCTTATGGTGAAACGTACATACATAAACAGTGAATAAACAAGCATTGAAACTGAAAACGCGTTGCCTTAGCTTTTCCTTGATGTATTGTATTTCTATGCAGGAAAAGAGATTGGAAATATACCCTTGTAAGTTGTTCGGAATGCCTTTACATCTAGTTGGAAGTCAACGAAATTGAAAACGCAAACTACTTATTACTAGCGTATAGTGTCGCGTTTGTCATTACTGCGTAAATTTGTGCCTTTTTTACGGAAACGTACAAAAACTATGGGGTATCACAACAGAAGTTACCGCATAAAATATCTTCCAAAAACTACTTCTTAAACTGCTCCTTGCCTCTGTCCTATCGCGTCGCCCACAGAAATTCCGATTGTCAACTGGTAGTAGCTGCGAGCACCTTTGGCTACCTTTCCGCCCTGCCTTCCGCAGTGCTTGCCCTGTCGCGAATCATCCTCGCCATTGCCTCTCCTCCTCTCATTTCCCTCCCTTCACCATTCTGCCGTTAGCACTGGACAGCAATCATATTACCCTGCCCCTCGCATGCAAATCTAACAATGAGTGTGTCTTGGCTGCTTTTAGTCTGAAATTTGCCGGTTTTGCAAGAATCTTCCGACCTCGATTCCTTCATCATTTGCTCAATTTTATTAATAATATTCATAGAGAAAAGTGATACATAGTGGCGTAGTGTCAGTTCGTAAACAAAAGCTTTGCTCAGGGTCCTCCCCCCCCCCTCCAGCAGCCGCTCGTAGTCCTCACCACTGACGTCTCCCTCTCCTTTTTTAGTTATTGCCCCCCTTCCTCTTTCACTGTCATTTCTTCATCTTTCGACTTATTATTGCCCCAACTGTCCTTTCTCCTGCATCGTCCTTTCTCTCCTTTCCATATTGCACCCTTTCACTTACACTACATTTTATTTCTTTCCTTCTGTTCTTTCTCTTTTCTATAGGTAGCTAGGTTGAATTCAGTCGCTGTCCGGAGGAGAATTCTAGTAGCCGGCTGCTCCGATCGGCAGTTTTCCGTGATTTCGTCGATCAGTACCAGGCGAAGTCCGGAGCAATACCCTAACAAACAGGCCATGGTCCGCGCACTATCTTTTCTTCCCCTTCCTCATTTCTTGCTTATATGCACTACACTAGAACCACACATGCCGGGAGACCGGTCGGGAGCTTAGAGCTTTCCCCGCTGGTGGGAGATACCTGGTTGGCGAAAACCCCGCTAGCCGTCAGGCAGGTCGGCGCCGGATCTCGCCATCCAGCGGGCGACGATCACCGCCTCCTCCCAAGGAAAAAAGCAAACTACACTTACGAGACTAGAGACCTTAGCAGTTGACGCGCCCGGAATCACCAATCAATCTCTTTTTTTAGTTTCATCCCACTCTTTCTCCCCCTTTTTCTCCACCTTTTGACATTCTTTGTCTGCCCTTCCTCCCGTTTTGCCATCTCTTTTGTATCTTCCCTTCCCTCTGCCCCCAGGCTCCGCGCCCCGGGCGCCCACGTGACCGCCTCCGCGCCAATTGCCGGTGGCCGAGTGCGGGCGCTCGGGGGCGTAATTGCGTTACATCCACTTACGAGCGGCGCCTCTCAGGGCGGCTCGGGCGATTGAGGTGGTGGCGGCGGCAGCGGTGGAGGTGGTGGCAGTGACTGCGATGGGAGGCGGAGAAGGCGGAAGTAGTGTCGATGACGTGATGTATAGTGCTTCGGTAGGTCTTAGAAGCGGCTGATGGCGACGGTTGAAGAGGTGGAGGTGACAATCGTGATATCGCTCATGGGCTGCAATACGGGCACAACTCAAAAAATACGAATGTTGAGTCCGTGCACTCACCAGAATTGCAGATTGGTTTACCTTCCAGCGGCATATAGTACAGTACAGTATTCCACCACAAAGGGCAGAAGTGTGAATGTAAGAATGATGCACATACATCATGGTAACAAAGGCCTGAGCGATGGTGGCGGTGGCAAAGGCGAAAGCAGCGTCGACGTGCCAGCGGGAGTAGCGGCTGGGCCGTTCAAAGCGGCCGTAGCGAGGAAGGCGGGGTGCGGCGGTAGAAGTGGCAATGGCAATAGGGATGACTGCAGTGAGTATGGTGGTGGTGGAGGCTCTGTTGATGTCGTGGCGGTGTATCGGCGGGGCTGTGGGAGGCGGACAGAGCCGGAAAAGCGCCGGAGTGGCGCGACAGTAGTGATACTGGCAATAGGAACAATGGCAGTGATGTCGGCGGTGATTGGAATGCTATTGGTAACAATGGCATTAGTGAGAGTTGTGGTGGCAGAAGTGTTGCCCCAGCTAAGGTGGCTTGAAATGTGTCTTTCGAGACCTACCGCCGGCGTATTTACTGAAAATGGACCTCACAACGCATTTATTGCCCTTCAGCATTAAATAAAACTCATCAAATTATCAACCAATAACACACATGAAATAAAACAAACAACGGAAATGCATTTTAAATGGAGAAAAGTAGTTTGTGTGAGTCTTTCAACAGACGTTGAATAGCGAGTTAATGAAAGTAGCCACCTACATTTAGGAAAAGGAGCAAGTTACTCCCATTTTACCCCCTATCGTACTACTGTGTTAGCAGATCGGGTCTCGATTTTCCATAGGAAAAATGAATCGTACAGTACTTTTTACAAATTAAAAACTATGCAAGGGTATTCTTTTGCAAGAAACAGAATTAAGTAAAAAGAACTTAAAATGAGAACTTCATTTAGTAACAATCATTCTCACAAAAAAATTATTAAAGATGTATTATGAAATTCTATTTAACCATTTCTGCTTTAGAAGCTGTAGAATGTCAAAATACATTTTATTTTCAATTTAGTTTCTAAAAGATATTTATGCAATATACTATGCAAGTACTTGTCAAAAAATTTTCATAAGCGTAACGGGCTTGTTAACCAACATTTCTGAATCTCGGCTCTAAAATAATATGTCGTGTAAAACGTCATTACACTACTGACTGCTTCTAAAAAAACTGGAACATTCTTTGTTAGTACGCAAAAGCATTGTTTGAAGGTTTAGAAAGGTCATCGTCCTGCTATATTTGTGAGCCATACTATGCTGCAACTGTTTTGTTCGGGCGTACTCGTACATTTGTGAATTGTTCATAAACCACGAAGCCCAGAGGTACGTTTATGAGAACATTGATCCTCGGGCAGCGATTGCTTTCGCGGCACAGGAGCCTAAGATAAGCATTCATGCGAAAAAAAAAAGATTTCTTCTTATAAACTACCTCAAGAAGTGCGCGGTGTGCTACCTGCCGTAATAGTGACAACGCTAACCTGAGCGTTAAAGCCTGCTATGGTATTGCCTCTAAACTTTGTGCGCGCTATCTCGCGAGGTAGAAATGGTCGCGCAACCTGTTATGTAGCGCTCTAGCGACTGGGTGGCGGGGGGGGGGATTTGCGGGAAACGTGTCCCTGGTGTGTCGCCTATCATTCCATTTAACATCGTACTAAAAACGAGTTATCGGGGAACTTGTGACTATGTTATAGAACGCGTTCCTGTAAAATGTGAAATAACCACGTCACCGTACTCTAAACAACACATTCATATATTTCCTCATCCGAAAAGAATACTTACAAATCAATTGATTGTATAAAAGTGTGGGCCTTAAATGTATTTTTATTGGAGTATATCACTCGTTATTGAATATTTAATACAGTCCAGCTGCAACTGTCCACGATTTTGCTGCCAAAACACTGCAACGAGTCGTTTTAGTACTTAGAATATTAGGTGTAAAAAGCGATACGCGTATTATGCATTTGTTTTGATGTAACATAGTCATAAAATAATGCTAAACTTATCTGTTATCCCACAACATTGGTTTTGAATCGAAAGTCGTAAAATAGAGGGCGTTCAAGAAACTGAATGGTTCGTACAGAATACACCGTTTATTAAATAACAACTGTCGTAGAGTAGAGAAATGTGACGAGGTCTTCGTGTGCTCACACTTCACAATAATTGTGAATTGGAAATTAAGAATTATTCTTAATTCCGTGTTCTAAGAAGGATTGTTTTTATGACTATTCATGCAAATTAGTTCAAAACAAGACAACATCTTGAAGGTTGTATATCGTACAACGGTTTTCGTCGTCCACTCGAACCGCTCCAGACAAGTTGAGCAGGAACGCAATGAGCAACCAGTGCACAAGCTTCCTTTCCGCGTCATTTCTCTCTTATTCCTTGTCCGTACGAATGTTGAAGCCTAAAGAACATGCAGTCACGCATTTTCGTGACACAAAAGTTCATGGGTGAGTACGTCGTCCCATAAATAACGTTTGAAAAGAAACCTCGTTTATTTCATTTTACCAGAGCGTAGTGTCTCTTCCTGGTGAGACATCAACCGAAGGGGCAAGAGCGTGCTGCGCCCACAGTCGAACTGGTCATGGTTGGTGCACTGCGTCATCGCAAGTTTCACAAAATGACCGCGATAAAGAAGCGACCATGGCGCAAAAAGGAACGAGAAATCTTTTTCGTCACCGCCCCTTGACCTTCAGGCAGCATTGCTACAAAATTACCTGCCTCAGTGAGATCAACTTACAATGTTGCCAAACAAAACTCTACAGACCAATGGTTCTCTATCTTCCCTGTAAATGTATGATCTCTACTCCTAGGAAAACTGCGAGCAGAGAATTGGAAAATATGAAATTATTACACTGTAATTGTCACTATTGCAACCGACTTCAGTAACATTTACTTTTTTAATTGTATTATAATAATTGCAAGATTTCAACCAAACTACTACTAAAACTTTGTTTTGAAAGCGGTTATCTAAAATATTAAAGTCTAGAGAAGATGAGCGAGTAACTTGCAAACAATAGTAAAGATGTTTTAATACCATTCTAAATAAAAAGGAAATATATTATGAATCCCCAGAATTATATCCACGGATATATCTGTGGCTTATAAATTAGAAATCAATGTGATTTACATTGCTATACCTACTGGTGTAGTTCAAATCAAAACCCTCTCATAATTTCTTCAGACTCCATAATGAAATATTAAGTACAAACTGCTCAGAATTGCGCACCTTGATCCATTGCTTTCTAATCAAAGAAATGCAGGAAACTACCTAGTTAACGAGTTACGGGGAAAATCCAGAACTTTAATTTTAACTTTGAAAGGTCATTACAACATCGCGTAAAAGGATAGAAGGGAGACTAATGTAGCCTTCGAGAACATCCAGGAAGTTCGCGACACAAAATGCTCGTATTATGTGCAAGCGTATAAAACTTAAAATGTTTCCATTGAAGCTAATCCATCCCGATTAATTTAACTTCATGTGGGTGTATATGTATTATTTTAGTTCTTATGGTACTTGTATTTCAAGCAAAACTATTAGATGTATTTCAATAATTAAACTTCTCAATTTTTTTAACTCTCCACACTTTACAGACAGAAAATAATGTTACAGGTACAATGAAAATTCAAACGTGAAAAGGTACTCCCGTCTTATCTCCCCTAAAAGACCTTAGTAAACACTCAATGTACGAGATACGACATCTTTCATAGACGTCCGCAAAAACCCATTTAATGTGACAAAGGTGATTTCAGACACCTGCGTACTTTCATTCAGAAACGTATTCCTTGATAGAGCGTTGAGATTAAATAATTGCCCCCCCCCCCCTAGTGACATAGGGTCTTTACCAGTTTGGATGGTAAAGTTGGTCGGTGGTGGCGGCGGCAGTCCTATCACAGAGCACAGAGATAAATCTTGTGGTAAAGACAGCCAGGCCCTGAATTTCTGACACTCTTGACCGCTTTAGTTATATGCCAGCTTCATAAAAATGAGTTACTTTCATTTTATTCTACAGGCTCTGAGAAAAAAAATGGGTTTTCCCACATTTTCAACAGACGTTCAGGTCACGTGCCCTTCACGTGAAGTGTTTTGTGTTTTTCCTTATTGACCAGAAACAATCTCTAGGATGAGATGACTTAATAACACAAAGATTCATAAAATTGTTTTGTTTTTTTATTTAATGTATTTTCTTTATGTACTTTTTACCATGAGCAATTACGTAATAAATTGTTGAACAACAGATGGAAAACGCGACAATATTCTCAATCCTCGGTCAGCAGCTTTAACGTGACCGAGATTTTTATGTGACAGAATTCACCATCAAAAGAATTCATCGAGAGCTTTTTAGTTTCCATCTCGTATCGGATCGTGCCGCCCCATCATCTCCGCCGCTTCCATAGACGTAGCCCACTCCGCTGCTCACCAGTGAACTCTATCGTCCACTTCACTCCCTCCGCAGCCACGGGAAGTGAAGGTGTATTTCGGAAACTGAACAAAATTCGACGCCACTAGGAGAGCTAGTTGTTGTAATAGAGGGCTATGATTGGTTATTGACTTCGACATTTTATTCGTACGTAACTCCCAGTTGCTACGATATTCTTGTACACTGTGGTGGGTAACTGGGTTTCTGAGTTTCTCTAAGTTATTTGGTGTTTCTCGATCTGTCTTCAAGACAATGAAGTTCGTATATTTGGTTTACACGGAAGGAAATGCAGATGAATAGGAGAAACTTCAATAACAAGGTAATGAACTATTTGTTTATTTAAAAACGACTTCTCCGTGTTATAATTAGATTAATTGCCCGGCAATGTTATATTGACAACTATATGCATTACGAAAATGGGCAGCTCAAAATATATTTCAATGTTGTTTTTTCTTGTTTTATTAAAATATTGTCTATAGTATTGAATAGATTACTTCATGAGAAGAGTTTTCAGGAATTAAATTTCTTAGTTGTAAGGTTAGGAGAGACTGTCGGTTCAAGTAGTTCTTTGCGAGGACACTTCGAGCGCTGCGAGACATATTGTTTCCACCGTTGAACATTGAGGGCGCTCTCGTATAGTTTTGATGTCTTCGATTTCTAAGATTCTCCGCCGTGCGTTTTTTCTGCCACGCAGCCGCACCACCGCCACCACTTTGACACCGTCTACCTTCCAATGAATGTTCTCTTCACCATTCACCGTTCTCTCTACATGCAGCTTCCCTGCACCATTCGCCGCGTGAACCTGATATTTTATCTTCACGTCACTAAGACACTCCCACTCCTCTGTAGCGAAGTGCCTTTGTATACAACACAATGTACCCAAAATTAAGAAAACAACGACTCTCAATTAAGCTTTGTGGGGGACCGCCGCAGCGTCGGATGACTGGTTGCTGGAACGGGTGGATGGCCAAACAATGTAGTTGTGGTCGGAAAACATGGTGCGGGGAGTCTGGAACTTCATAGCATCTCTCCTCCGTGAGATAAGCGGAGGTTTTGGATGTGAAGATCAGAGGAATCGGCACGAGACAAGGTGTAACAGGAAAGTGCACGATTGAAAAAAGGCCAGCAGTAGATAGTGGGACAGAAAGGTAGTACGAATTGATGTGTACCAGTCCCTCAAAGCGAGCTCGCAGTTAGAGTAAAATTGGAGTTCGTAAGCCGTAAAATATTCATTGTGCGAATGAATGGGATATTTCGCACCAAAACGCATCCATGTTGTTAGCTAATTTTACCTTCTCGCAAATAGCAATAATAATTAATAATAATAATATAATAATGAATAATAATAATCGATTAATATAATTCAAAATAAAATAATAATCGATAATAATAATAAAATAATAATAATAATATCGATATATCAATACCCAATACCCACACATATCGGGAAAATATCAGAGAAGATCCAGAAGTATACCAAATCTCGCCTATGAAGTCGCAACTCAGGGAACTTCAGTAAAGTGAGGACTGTGCCTATAATAATATCAGCTACGGGAGTGATCCCGAAAATGGACACTCCGGACACTGAGTGTCTTTCAAACTTGGATACCAGGAATGGGTAGATAATATGCCAAAAGACAGTAATTTGAATACATGCCGTATTGTCAGAAGCATCTGAACCTTCAGTTAAAGCAACCACAACACCTGCTTCTATCATACCTGTGTGTGGGTTGGACATACCGACCGAAGATACTGCTGAATAATGTTAAGATAATAATAATAATAATAGCAATAATATAATAATAATAATAATAATAATAATAATAAAATAAAATAATAAATAATAAATAATACATAATAAAGTTTGACTTATATGTGTTAAGAGTATCCACTTATTGCTGAAAGATCTTGCGACTTCTTTTTAGTGGGTTTTACAAAAAACGTCTAAGTTATGAGAGGTAAAAGTCAGTGCAAGCTTTAATGC